AATGTAACTATTCAATTTAGGATATTTTCATACCCATTTCAGACAGGTTAGTGCAGAATCAAACAACACTTTTATGACTCTTGACGTCTTACTAACAAATCTGTCCTCGTACCATATTCATCAATGTTAAACCAGGCACGGCCTCTCCATGCACTCTGCAGTTTGTGGCCTCAGGAGGAACAAATCAGAGATACTTAATGACCTTGAACGACCCTGGAGAACAGCTTAAGATAAGAGCGTCTTTCCTCCTACTGTAGGATGCCAACGCAGACAGTTATAAGCTGTCTGTGTTGATTAATGTCTTCCTTTTCTTTCTACACACATGTTGCATCTTCACTCAGTTTTTCTCAATGTCAAAGCCACACACGAGGGATAGGTTTAACAGGTGAAAGGGAAATTTTTGAAAAGGGACGTTGGTGTTCGGAAAGAAGTGGATTTACAATCTCTGGACACGCTGGACATACTGTAGATTATGCTAAATGGTTTGCAGTTGAATACTAACAAACTGTGTGAGATACTTGCAAACCACATTTTGCATATCAAATTCGATGTTAATTCCCCATTCTAATTTAAATAGGGGAAATAAAAATGGAGGTGGAGGTGGAAAAGCAGTGCACAGGATGCAAGAGTCTATGAAAGGCATGGAGATTAGGGATCGAGGCATTTCTGGGACAGGGAGATAAGGCACCTTTTGAAACAACTTTTTGAGTGTCAGGACTGCCTTATCTGCCTTTTTCCATGCTAAGTTTCACCTAAAACAAAATAATTCAAAACGTGTTGTTTTATCTCTCTCTCTCTCTCTCTCTCGCTCGCTCTCGCTCTCTCTCTCTCTCGCTCTCGTTGTGCTTCCAATTTATTTCTGGCGCTGAGGCTGAACCAAGAGTTTTATTGTGAACAGAGGGAAATCAACAGAAAGTTAAACCACCTTCTTAATACACGATGGACTGTTTCTAATTCTCCACTCTTCATTTCAAAGTAGCCTCTACTGTCCACCTTTCTCTGTTCTGCTTTCCATGAATGGGTCTATAATATAGGAAGTCACTTGGCAGAGGTTGGGCTGTGTAGTAAACTAGCTTTTCTTGTCAGACTTTTCATTCTTGTGTAGTCCTGATATGGCAATTGTATCTTCTTGGAAGTTGACATGAAATGAACTGTGTTCATGCAATTTTAAATAGCACTGGAGGAGTTGGACTAATTTGCAGGAGTGTGATCATGGTGATAAGAAGTTCTATGAAACTTAAAAAGAGGATTGTAATGCAGAAACTTGCACCCACTGAGGATGTGTCATGCACATCCCCGTTTGTGGGCAGTTGTCTTGTTTTATCAGGTTGTTACAGCCAAGACGACTTCACAACTTAATGGTCAGTGTTCACCAACCGTGTTCAGTCTCATCTCCACTCATGTGATACAGAGTAGTGATGATGGTGTGATAGTGGAGTTTCTTTTGGATGATTGTGGGGAGTGTAAGTCATTGAAATGAGAAATGAGCTGCAAAATTATTTTTTCTCTGCAGTTCTATCAAACTGCAATAAGTCTGTCTCCATGGTTTTAAGCTTAAGTGTCCTTTAAACACATTTTCTTCAAACAAAAGGTCAGATTTCAGAGATCTTGCTGCTCATAGTTATTCTTTTTTCTTCTTCAAATTTGATGCATTTTAGAGAAAAAAATCATTTCTAAAAGCTACAAGCAACACCTTGCTTCTCTTTTGTTTGATTTTTCCCATTATGTCATCTGAACTGAAACGGCAAATAAAGCAACAGACTGAGACAGACAAAAGGACATGTTTGCATCTTTAATTAGATTTCCGGTGAGGAGGAAAACAAGAAAGCTCTCTCAAACTCCTGAGTCAGAGTGCTCTTCACATCATGTTCAGTTCAGCCCAATAAGTTCAAACAAAACATTGATTACCAGTAATTTCTGTATAGACTGCATATGAGATTTTCTTCTATATTTTCTGTGGCACAAGATGTACGGTTACCTTTCTAAAGAGGAACTTCCTGAATTGGCAGAATCCATCCAATCACAACTTTGCCTCAAACTGACCAGCGTCCATTTCTCGGATATGAAAATTATGGCAGAAAAAAACAAACCCAGCAGCTGTTAAGGGCAACATCTTTGAGAATTTGGCAGCTTAATGCTTCTGCTGGAATTAAAATGGCTCAATGACATAAAGAGTTGTGTAACGGTTGAATTTGAAATCTGTAGTGAAAACATGTAATGCGTGACTCAGGCTGAGAGAGCACTCGTCTGTGCCAGACAAACCGTAGGCCAGCACTGCAATGTCAGAGAGAGGGCACAAGCAAATAAAAACCAGAGTCCTGCTTGTAGAGAAATAGAGAACACTCCAGTGAGATTGGTTGACTCTAACACAAAAAGAATTCTGCACTTAATGCTCCAAATATTAACACATCCACACAAACAATGACAAATGGAAAAGTATTTACCTTACACGGATAGAGAATACTTTTTACTGTTTGTTTGAATATGTTTGTCTGTGGACATGCTAGGGCTGGGACCACTCGACCATCTCGAGTGAAGTCTGTTAAAAGAAAAAAAAAACTATAAACTTTCTCAGTGCCGACCACTTATGCAAACAGTAATTGGTTAGTAATAATAGTGATTCTGTATGACATTCAGGAGGTGTTGTAATTTCAGGACGCACTGTTTCAGTCGATGCGCACCGCTGTGATTATCTGAGCCGTGAGCTGTGGTGGGACTGAGCTATGTCTTCTTGCATTGCTACTCTCTACCTTGCCTGAAATGTGACAGCATTTTGAGGAGGAGAAGCAGGACAACAAACACGATGTTAACACTTTCAGATAACACAAGCAATTTTTAAGATCATTTGTAAAAATGGTACCGTTTATATTCATTTCATCAAGTAAATGCTCTTACATTAGTTGCTCCTTCTAGCACTAACAAAAACTACAGGCACACAAAAAGTAGAATATTGGCACAAAAAAAAAATCTCAATACTCTGGCCTCAGTTTACCATTTTATTTCTTAGGTTGAGATAAACAAGCCTTCATTTTGCTGAAATGTGTCGGCTTAACGTCCTCAGTATGCTTCGGATGAAGATCGTTTAACAGGCTGTCTACAACCAAGCGCCACACCATGAATGCCTTCCAGAGGAGACTGTCCGTAAGTGTGTGCTGTTTCACACATCACGTCCTGCTCCTCTTTTATAACAGCAGCCTTTTCACTCCACTTTGGACACTGGCCATTTGGACCAAGTTTAAACAGCAGACTTTCTGTCCTTTGAGTGCCTCTATGCCATTTTATATGTTAATTTGACTCTAGCAGAGCACACACTTCACTTAGTAGATGTGCACCTGTCTTGCATCTGAAAAACAGGGAAGCATTTGACAGCTTGAACGCTGTTTTTAAAATTATAACATTGTCGATGTTAAATGTTAATTTTGTCATGATTTGTTAAAATGCCTTTTTGTCCCAGCCCTATTGTTTTACTTGTGTGTGTCTCTGTGTGTGAGCACTTGCAATTTGTTTCAGATTGGTGTCCAGCTCAGCTGCTGCTCTCCACATGTGACAATTCTTAATCGGTCTGTGAAAGCTCAGGTCACTCGGCCAGTGCGATCGTCTCAGACACAGACACACACTCAGTACATATTTCTGGCCTTTTAACTAGCTGACACCTGGCAGGAGCAGCAGATGGCTGTTAACAGCTTAAACTTCTGGCAGATCTGTTTAATTCAGAGAGCTCCGGTCCTCCGACTGGATCACAGCCCAGTGAAGTAAGAGGTGGCAGAAGCTCGTTTGGCTGCCATTAAGAGAAGCCAAGAGTGTTTGGCAGGAGTGAGAGCAGCCGGCTCTATTGACAGGGGCCGGCTAAGTGGCCTGAACCCTCTGCAAAAGAGCAAAGGGGATCAACAGGGCAACTCCTACACTACAGGGGTAGGCGCACTTGGATGGCTGTTACATCCCTCTTGACATCATGAATCATACTAGACTGTCCATGTGTATGTGATAAAAAGATAATTGTGGGGATGAAGGTGATCATTCTTTTTGCTTCAAAAGAGGAGCAGATAGAGAAAATACACAACACATCTGCATGTTTTTTTTTTTTCCTTTTTACATGGAAAACACACACACACACACACACTCACACAAAATCAGCACATTGTACTTTTTTTTTCTTTTCTTTTTTTTACCAAAACATAAAGCTCAATTCCTCAAACAGAAGATGCATTTCTAAGGAGATAATACATTCATTCCAAGCGATGGCGACGGAGATTACAATATCTTGATAGAATAGACAAACAGATTAATTACTTCATGGCTAAAACCTGAGTTATTCCAAAGTATTTCCATATGAAACTGCACAACAATGCACATCAAAAATAAATGATGCATCATTATTCTCATATAGAGTATTATTTGCATGACTAAAGCTATGCTAATATATTCATGTGATATATACACACATCAGTATATGGATTATTAATGTATATGTGTGTGTCCGGGGTCTGAGATTATCTAAGAGGTCCAGTCAAAACACAGAACCATATTATGACAGAATGACTTTCAGCGATTTTTCTGAAGCACTTCAGCCTCAAAAATTTTATGTCCTTGCAACAGAGGTGACTAAAATGATATTTCTTTTTTGTACATGTTGGAATTTTTGATTCTCCCCTTTTGCTTTCAAACTCAAGATGCAGAGATAGTCCAGTTGTCTCTGCTTTTTCCTCATTTTTTTCTTTTATTTGTATTGTTTCGGCCCTTTTTGTTAGTCTTTGAAAGTTACTCTTGAAATGAGGAAGAACAGAGGCGCAGCATGATTTAGTTTGTCTTCAGCCTCCTCGGCCTGCCATCCCTCTCCCTCCTCTTCCAGCCCTCTCCAGGATGAAAGCAGGTATGACTGTTTAATATTGAGCTGTTGGGTCGAGCACTACAGTTGAGCAATGTTCAGTCATTGGATCAGTTTTAACAGGTTCCTCGTGGCACTGGAGGGCTCCGCTGCACCCACTATCCTGGTGTCTTCGTCACAAAAAATCCTCATAGTCCAACAGTTTGGAGTGCTGGCGCGTCTTCCAAAGTCGGTAGAGGCGGAAGTCGAAGTACATCTCAATCATCTCTTTGCCTTGATTGGTAAATGAGACAGGAAAAGTTTGAATTACGCATTTAGAAAGCAGAATCACTTTCTTATCCAGTAAACAATGCAGAACAATCTGATTCCATTACTATACCAGCAAAGAAGAACACGCTGCAACACATAATACGAAAACAGTAGTATGAGGTTTCCTGATTAGCATCAGATGCTGACAGAAAGATGTGTGTGTGTGTATGTGTGTGCACGTGCGTGCACATTTTTAAATCCAACTATCTATGCTTTGTGGGTTGACATTCGTGTGAGTGATCAGAGCTAGGGTCTCGTCACAGACCTGCAATTAATGTTTTTAACCGCAGCCATGATCTTTCCCAACGAGCAAAGTGCTCTTGTCTAGCAAATGTAGGGACAAACCTTGGGTGTGATTTGTTTTTACCTGTGCAAATTGATTTTCTTTTTGTTGTTACTGTCTATATCATAGTTAATTTGTAAATCCTCAGGAGTGCAGATGTTGGTGCCTTCTTAATGGACAGTTAGCAGGTGATGTACGAAGAGTACAAGAGGGAAGGGAGAACATGTCTCTGTGGTGAACTTTTGATAAAAGGGAAGAGGCTAAAGAAGAAGAAGTTTGGATCTGGATGTAACAGACAAGAGTTTTGAGGTCTTCCTGGACTAAGAGTAGTCTTTTGTTATATTGACTATTGTGTAGAAGAGAGCAGACTGTTTGTCCCTACTCCTCCCTGCAGCTGGGGATGGGAAGAGCGGGTCTAAAAAAAGTACAAAGTAACAAGACTACTTTCTCCTTTGTGATGGCTGTTGCACACATAGTGTGAAGTCTAAATGACTTGGATCAATTGCATTAAATAAAAAATAAAAAATTCACACCGAAATATGAAATACCATATCGACGCAGCACCCAAATAAGGCGGATAAGGAGGAGGGAGAGCAAGTGAGTAAACAAGAACAGTATGAACATATTTGAAATAAGGACGAAACTACAATTGACACATTGTTGAAATAAATTTGATTTTTCAATAAGGGAACAGCTGTTTGGGTAAAATTCCTCCTGCAGGTGTTCATGCTGGACATATGGTATTTGCTTGCGTCATTTTAAATTTAGTGTATGTGTCCTTGTGATCTGCATATTTGAGTGTGTTTTCTCAGACCCACCCTGTGCAGACAGTTCCAGCGGTGACTCGAACTCGACAGAATAAGGCCTCATCAGATTCTTCAGTTTCTGGAACAGCTGTTGGGCCGAGATAAGAAAGCAAACACCAATTAATCCCACTGCACTTGGATACGCTCGCAGCAGGGGAGCCCGCATCTTCAGACACAACACGCACACATACACAAACACAGAGACGTACAAGAACGACAATGAATCCAGCTCATTACAGCCAAAGCGACATGTGCTCATTCTTCCTGTGCAGGTAACAAAGAGGACGGGAAATGAGAGGAGAGGTGCAAAGGTGCTCGGTTTTCCTGCTTGGCTTCATACGACTTCTCTGTATTTTCAGCAACATGGCTCGTCAAAAGCAGAGGAAGATGTCTCGCAATAAAGAGTCTCATGTTCAGGAAATTACAGGAAAGAAGATTAAAATCAAACAATTATCTGAGCTGTAAAATGGAAGAAGTTGAGATGCTAGCTGGAATTTTGCATTTGTAGTCCCAACACCAAGACGGAAATTCACATTTAGTGCTAAAATAATTGGTCAGTTAAAAAATTCATCAAATAAAAACGTCACGTGTAGGTTCCCGCTTCTGAAATGAGAGAATTTGTTTATTTATTTTATTTTTGTTCAGCTGTATCACATTATAGATGGAATAGTTTGGGGTTTTGGAGCAATTTGAAAACATCACTTTCAGCTCCAGGAGCTTGTGATGGACATTTTTTAAACTAACCCAGACGAAAGAAAAAAATTGCAACAATATGCAACAATTTTTTTTCAGTTGTCTCTTCTGCAGTTTATTGCTACTGACGCATTGTCATGCACATTAAGATCGAAGCTCACTGATTTCTTGCTTGGATTTAGTCATGAGGGATCTCGATACCTCCCTGTCAGAGAAATCAAAGGCCAAATTCACCTTTGTTTTTCACTTTATGTTGTTCAAATGGAGGTGGTAAAGAAAAAAGCAGCTTTCATTCCTTGTGTTCGCAGTCCTTTGAAAAAGATAAAAGAAGATGGCTAGTTGCCAGATGTGGAGGTTCGGGAGATGCAGGCAGCATGGCTCGTCTGTAGTGCAGAGAGAGCTGCAGGCAAATAACAAATCTCAAGTAATGTGTTGCATGTTGGGTAAATTTCTTTCTGTCCTGGGTGGCTTCTTACAAGCTCTTAGTGGATGTTATTGCCAAGACTGATTCATATTTTGTGCTGACAAAACCAAAACATGCTAGGAAATTTCTGACAACTGGGTCACACTGCCTCTCTGGCCTGCTCACCTGCTGTTCTCAATCCCCAGCTTTTGTTTCCATTCCTCCAGCCGCCACACTGTGTCTCAAAACAGTGCTGCACACTTGTAGTCGACATTTCACATGGCAATTTTAATGGTGCTTTCCAGTAATCTCAAAGCAGCACCGACATTTTTTCTCTTTTATCAGCTAGTTCATTTTACCTTAACACATACTGTTTCCATCACATTCACTTTCATGTAAAACGAACTCCTCTGAAATCCAAAACAGACTAAATACAGTATTAAATGTGATGACAGCATGGTACATGGATTACAATGAAAATGGCTCCGAACAAGACAATATTACAGAGAGAATTAACATTACAAAATCAGCTTTTGTTGTGCTTAACAAATGAGATCCCTTTGATATTTGCTGAATGATTTTTATTAATCATGCATTATGATTTTACTTTTCAAACAGAGAGGGGGTGGTTTAATTTACCTCTCTGATGAAGTCAACCCACTCTAGCATCGCTACAGGCTCATGTCAATATTTATGAGCTTAAATCTACACTTTATTACATTATATTAGGATTTAAGCGCCCCCAAGCACAACTGCACATATTTGTATGCAGTATATGAACATACATCAGTCAGTGTGTGTGTGTGTGTGTGTGTATGTATGAAGTTTAGAGGAGCTTTCAAATGTGTGTTTAGGAAGATTTAGCTCAACATGTCCCGTTTGTTTTGTGCTGTCTGGAGTGCAGCGTTTGGCAGCATTTGAGCTGTTTAAAAATGGATTGGATGGGGAATCTGCTTAACAGAGGCAAGATGCGAGCGATGCGTGCTGTCGTGCATTTGTTTGGTGGATTTGGTGGTTATACATCACGTTAAAGAAGTTAAATGACATATTTTTGGCCATTTATTGTAGTTACCAGCAGGGAACAAGTTTGTAGCCGACCAGAATGAAAAGCACAACAACAAGGTCAACTCAGGTACATCCTAAAAAAGTGAATGTGTGGCTTCTGCAGAGTTTCAAGTGAAATTCATGAATTGTATTTTCTAACTGTGCTGTAATAAATATTACAGCACAAACTAAACTAATATACTATAGTTGACAAGTGTGAAAATATCACTCTTGGGCCAAACCCTTGAAAAAAAGAGACACACCCATTTGATTGTTTTGGATCCATGCTCTCTTGAAACAATTGCATTTGTGTTTTTCTGTAGGGGTGGAGATATCACTGATGTGCAGTCTGTTTTCCAGACTGCCAGACTGTCCATCAGCCCCGGAGAGATCCACTTTATATAACAAAGCATTTTGGCAGACATGACTGGAACAGACAGTTGGGTCACACAAACACTGCTGGCTATGGCGTTTTATCTTTGTGTGCATGTGTATCTGCCAGCTTGTTTGTGTGTGTGTGTGTGTGTGTGATTTAAAAAAAAAAATAAAATAAAAATAAAAATAATAATAATAATAATTTTTTGTCTTGTGGGTGTTTTTTTTATTATTTGTTCATGCCAGGTAGAGAGAGGTGCAGCGTCACTCAGCTTTATCCAGCAATATTACTCAGAGTGAGATGATAGTCACACAGGTGCAGAAAGAGAAAGTGGGAGAAACAGAGAGAAGCTGGAGGATGATGTGCTGATTATCAGACAAACAGTGATAGAAACAGACACAGTGAGCATAAATATGAAAGCAGAGAGCAGCAAACAGGGAAATAAGGACAAAGAGACGCAGAGACAAAACTGGGCAGGCGTGAGCATGAAGAAGTGTAATGATAAAAGACAGGGGACCAAAACTCTATAAATTTTGGGCATCCTTAGTTATTAAATCAGTTTGATTGGCACATAAAGCCTAGATTTTGAACAAGTTATTATGATTAAGGTGGAGTTATACTTTGTCATACACTCAGTCACAGTGTACTGCTGTGACACTATAGGTGCCATAGGAATTTCACCCGTGTTGATATACTCACCACCGCACTGAGCAGATGTATTGCACATTATGCAGTCCGAGGCAGTGAGGACTGAAGGAGGCTATCTGCATTAAAGTAGAGGAACCATCCCTCAACAGAGGAAGAGGTCTACAACACCACTTATCCCCCACCTACAATGCTGTCCTTCCATCCCTTCGCAAGAGATTTAACAACCATTGACACTTGGCCTCAGGTGACTGACTCATTACAACAGTGAGGAGCGCTAAGTAACGAGTGACATAAATGGCCTTGACAATGACCCCACAGAGGTGAAAATACCAAGGTGGACCTCCGCAGTCAATCAGTACTTTGCCAAGAAATGCAGGCGTTTCAAATGCGGGTTCGACTGGGTCCTTAAAATGTAAAATGTTTAATATGTAATATGGCTTTAGATTAAAGTGGTGCTCAAATGAACTTTAATGTTTTTCAGTCCTGTTTGGTGAAGATCTGCTATTTTAATATGGGAAATGGCGAGTTAAGTATTAGTTTTCTGTGCATTTACTGTGAGTGTACGGTATGTGTTGTGCATTAGTGTCTGTATACCTTTTCTCCATTGGGGTTGCCCAGGACATAACATCCCATTATGTGGATGAGGTTGGGTTCTGGGTTGACTTTGCTCATGAAGCGACTGAGCCTCCTCCAGAATCTGGACAAAGACAAAGGCGGCAGTTAGATGGATGGGCCAACTCTTTTCTTTGATTGACAGTTCCCATGAAATTAAATACAAAAGAGCAAAAATAAAATGACCCTTTCCTCTTCACATGCACCACAGCAAGCACTCAGAAAAAACGCATATCCAAAACACAAACTCCAAGCATGACTTTTTAAAATATTCGGCGTCAAGCACATGTCACTTTTTATTGGCGTACTGCTGTGCTTTTGCACTGAAGCAACTGTTTTAACAAAATATCGTGCGAGGAGAATTATGGAACAGCTTGTGAACCTTGTGTTTATATTGCTGAAACAAGTAAACATCACACATTCAAAGATGGTCCCCCTGGGAGAGATGCATCACTCCAAAGTAGTAGATTGTGCTCATAACTGAAAAACAAATGAAGGGGGAGCGCTGTTGCACGGTCCCAGTGGAAAGTCTGATTTAACCAAATGGGAGAGCTTCCACTGAAAAAGTATTAATATTCTGAAAATATAGCAAAGAGCATTTCGATGACAAATCTGTTTCAGGATCTGTGATCCTTTGAACACATAATGAAGAGGTTTAACCTTCCAGTTTGAAACAAAATGAAGAGCCAGCTTATTCTGATAGAGGTGTTGAACTTTTATTTGATTCAGCCCTTATTCTGATTATTGATGAAAGAAAAGGCCCCGTGAAAATGTAGCTAAGGTATCTCAATAATGAAATGCTGCTTGTTCCCAGTCATGTTTTCTATGTCTTGTAAAGTAACATCACTGTGTGTTATAAGACATGGAAAATGTGTGTTGTCATGATATTTGACACTGTGGTTAGGGCTTCAAGTGAGGGCTCCAGCGGTGACTCACTGGCTCATGTCTTCTTCCTTTTCTACCTTAGCGAAGGTTGCCACTTTATTCTTCAGTAAATACAGATGACCGGGGCCTCCCTAAGAAACGCACACAAGAGTAAAACACATTATCACAACTGCTTATTTGCCTCCTCCTAATAAAGATTTTAAGAGCTTAGATCCCAAAGGAAGATATTTACTGCAGTCTTGCAAGTTATTCACCAAATTCCTATATACAGTGTATGAACGAACATATAACCCCATCCCAAATAAACCCTATTCTACAAGGAATACACTATTATTTTTTCCCTCGTCTCCTTGTTCCTCACCTGACAAAAGATGAGCATCCTCCAGAACTTGCTTCCTCTCCTGTAAGCTGTGAGCTTCTTCTCTATTTCCTCTGTGTGAGAGAAAAAGTTTTGGATTGATGTGAACGACAGGGACCAAAAATGAAGTGAGACAGGAATATGGAAAGAACAAGAAACAATGTACAGAGAGATGGAGACATAAATGTGAACCGTGAACAAAAAGTAAATCTCATCTCTGGAGGGTGAGTTCAAGTAGAGGTGTAGTAGTAGACAACAGAGACACTAACAGAAGATGTAGTTTAAATTAAATTCAACTGTGAACTTGAGGCAGGAGGAAATGTCACAGCAAACTAAAACAAGTCATTGAAAGGCAGTAAAATGGAAAGCTGACATCTATATGTGTAAATTATTCATTGGCCTTTACTTTCAATTACTCTGTGTGAACTTTATGCCATACAGAGTTTGTTATGAACAACAGAGGATCATTTTCAGAATGATCTAAAGTAAAAATAATAAATAAAACTTAAGTAATTCTGCAGGATTTTAACTGGTTATAAATGAACAGACCATATAAGCCAGCTCTCTAGCCAGCTATGTTTTTGGAGATTTGAGATTTGCAGGTAAGATTTAGCCTCAAGCTGTCTTCCTGACCTTTAACTCCCACAGTACGAGTCAGAGTTCAGACTCCACTCCTCAGGCAAGCTGCTGCACAGTTCAGCGTCATGACTAGAGGTGACAGATTTTCTTTTCCGAGGGGGGAGATGGTATCATCTTATATACTCTCTAATTTTTAATATTAAACAATGTGTCGATTATTACTTATTACTAGTTCAACTCTGTTTTCTTTATGTTTTCTTCATGACAACTCTCATTGCCATTTTCATGTCTTCCATTAATATAGCCATAATTATATTTCAATAGCATATTCTTCTTCCTATTTTATTCAGTAGTCTAACTATTGTATGTTAATCACTTGTTGTGTTTTTATTGAAGAAAAGGAAATAGTAAAGGTATTTATAAATACAGGTGGAAAAGGCAGATCCAAGCCTACTCACCCAAAATATCATCAAAGGTTGCATGTTCATGGTCCTGAGGAAAAAGGCATTCACATAAAACATGATCATTTGATATTTTAAAATATGAAGACAGCAGAGAAACATTTCTTTAAAAGAAACAAATTATATTCTTGGTTAGTCCATGTAGCTATAACTGTGAGACAGGGTTGCCATGTATTGTATTGTGTAGCATGTCTACGTTTCATTGTGTTTGACTCACGTAGAGGATGGGAATGATGGAGGGGTCATCCCTGCGGATTATAGTAGGAACATACTCCGCCTTGGGGACTTTAGAGGAGATCAGCTAAAGGTGAAGTAGACACAGAAGAGGTAGAGGAAAGATTGGTTAAGTGGGATGTCAGGAAGATTGGGGAAAGAGGGGGAAAAAGAAGAGAATGGCAGAGTTTCAGGAAAAAAAAAATAGAGGAAAGGGGAAAAGAGCAAACTATCACATCCTCATGCCTACAGGGGATAGAAGAGCTCTATATGATATTCACAGTACTAAGGTAGAAAATCCGCTAGATAGATTTCAGGTAATTCATCTGAATATCATGTTACAGTGCAAACACTAAACCTATTTTTAGCTCAGACCAGTCATCAGTATTTAATCCTTAACATATTTTCTAAAATGACTATTTTCGTTGTGCCTCATTCACTAAAGATGGGAAAAAACAAATTAATTTATACAATTTTCTGTGGGATTTATATGGGTCTATACTTTTTTTTTTTTTTTAAAGTATATTTTTTTATGCCTTTATTTGATAGTACAGTAGAGAGACAGGAAATGGGGAGGGCAGCAGAAGCCGTCCGATGCGGGACTCGAGCCGGGGCCAACTGCAGTGAGGACTGTAGCCTCTACACATGGCGCGCCTGCTTAGACCACTACGCCACTCGACGCCCCGGTCTATACTTTTAAGTAATTTGAAGAATGCGATTGTTGTTCTCCATCATAATGTGTAAAACAATACTAAAGGTAAGGATAAAACATCACTTTTGTTTATGAGTGTATATACATGGGGCCGAAATCACCTAGATTGCAAAGGATTTACTGTAACATCAAACTGTTAACTGGTAATTTCACAGATTACGGTTGATGAGTCCTGACTCCTCATCCGATGCCCCAATTACAGACGTTTGCATTTGTGAAATAATCTGCAGATCAATGCGATCTCAATCTCCTACCATGATTTTGGGAGGTACAAAGTCGTCTCCCTCACAGGCGAGCCGCTCCATCTCCCTCTCCTCTTCCCAGTCTATATTGTCATCGAGGCCTCCTTCATCCAGGGTGCCACAGGAGGTCTGAAGGTCTCCGCCTAGGAGAGAATATGACGCACCGGTGAGGGAGAGGACTTGAGTTAATTGGGTGTGGGCTAAAGTGTTGGGATTGGAGTTGGAGGCAAGAAAGGTGACATAGAAAGAGAAGATATGGGAGTGAAGGGAGGATGTGTCCAAGAAGTGGGGAAAGGTGAGAGTAGAGGAGAGGAAAACAGATGGAGCTGTTAATAATGGTGGTGACAAGAAAATGACAGATGGAACAGGAGAAAGCAGAGACAGCTGGCAGGAGCAGAAAAAAGAATGACTGATAGTAAGTGTGACAGCAGGATTTCTGGCATCAACCAGGGTACATTAAACCTAACTGGGATCAGAGGGCAGCTATTGTAATAGGAGAAGGTGCTATATAGCATCAGGTCATGTTTCTCTGACATTTTATCATAATGTATATGACACACTGTATTTATATTTTAAAAAGTTATAAAAATGATCAACTAATTAGTATCTCAGATTAATTAAACCAGCAGCTGATTTATTTCATACCTAGAGGAGGATTTAATCTTGTAATTGCTGTGTCTTTAATTCATGTGAAGGTATGACATTGTTGTTTCTTTTCGTAATAATGGAAACAGTGCCAAACATGAGGAGAGTTATTGTCAGTCCCTATACCTCCATACACTTATAATTTAAAAGTGATTGGACTTGTGTGTTGTCTTCCTACTGACTCTGGCTTCAACAGCTGCAGCTGTAAGTTCACGTCAAATGAGGAACAGACTGTGACAAAAAAGTCGACTCAACTTAATATCTCAAGTTTATTCATCTTGTTTTCTGAAGTTAATTTAACTTGACCCGATTTTCAAAACTTACATTACTTACATTTCTAATTAGTTAAAGCTGCAGGAAAACGCAGCTGTGACTAATAATATTAACGATGCTCACTGACATACTCAGCGTTACAATGACGACAGAACCACTGAAGAAGTGATTGACATTGAACCACCAAGAGATACACAATGAAAAAAATGTGGCACCTCAAAGCAGAGCCCAGACAATATTTTGTCGTGGCTTATTTTATTGGACAGTTTTTGTGTCAGAAAACCTGTGTGGCTGAACTGAGACTACTTGTTTTTAATTCCTTAATTGCCATGGTGGTTGAGATGGTCGTGAGGGTGTGAACTGGTGGATATAAAAAGTCGACCCCTCGAGCTTGTAGTTCATGTGGGTTACGTCTGTGTCTGTTGTTTCCATGTAGCTGTGCCTTGTTGTTGTTGTTGTTTTGTTGAATTAGTTTGACGTTCAGTTTGCCTTTTATCAATTAAGTGTTTCGGCTAACAAGCAACAGGTGTTTGCTAGCAAGAGCTGTCAGCATTTCTTTGATCTTGTCTGAATGGTGTGATGCAGTTATTACTTCTTCTCTTCATTAATTATTTCACATATGTTTCTGTAAATAGTTTTAATCCTTGCTAGGTTAAGGGCTTTCCCATCGAATGTTAATTAACTAAATCACCTTCCAATGCTGTAGTTTAATTACAATGTGATTTGAGGGCATGGCATAATTACAGCATTTATTATTGCTGTATGCATGTGCTTTACCATGTATTATATACATGTGTTGGAGTGTTAGATTGTGTTATTAATAAATCTGTATTTGTTCATATTTTTACCATTTCTCACACAGCCCATACCTGCCTGTAAAATAGTCTTTTAGAAAGAAGCTATAGTATGAAGCCATTCTCATATAACTAAATGTGAAGGATTGTTATAAAAATGTTTGTTCATGTTCTATGTCTAAAAAAAGAAAAAAAAAAGATTGGCCAATATGTCATCAGAAGATTTTTAAACTCTCAAATAACTATGTTGGTATCTGCCTCAAAACTCCAGTGTCAGTAGCTCTAGCTCAAACATTGGTCAATAGGTACCCTGTGCAATATAATAAAACACTGTATGTACCCGAGGGGAAATAGCAGTTCGAAAAGGAGAATTGAAGAAGAACAGTAGATGAAAAAATGGAAATGACAAGCGAGACTAACAATTAATGTCACTCCTCCAGAGAACAATACCTTTCCCTGAGGAAAGAGGGAGACTGAGGCGTCAACCACACCATTAGACTGTCATCAACAGTTCATTTATCTTTCATCACACTCTGATACACAGAAACACTGACGATGGAAGTGAAGAAAAAACATAAAACCACAAACTCAGACATTGACATAGACAAACAGCACATGCAAACAGTGTGTGTTCGAAGCCTTTTAGAAACACTGAGACGTGCCTCACACAGATCCTTGCATTAACATTTGCACCAGCGGACACACTCGGACTGGGACACACACTCCAGTTTGGAAGACATACTCACAGAAAGAGAGAGCATCACAAAGTTGAAGAAAGACCCACGGTCATAGGGAGACAGATGGACAGGGTCAGAGTCAACAGCAGAGACAGTCAGTTTGTACGTGTGATTGTGTTTCATGTGCAAGTGTCCGCAGATTTTCAGTGTTAGTTGTTCTTGACTCGTCTTACCCGGGAACTGAGCTGTGAAACTGTGACGACAAAATGTCACCTCTGCGCAACAGGGAAGTATGCAGTACATACAGTACAGTGTTCTGTGATATCACATGTCCTATTTGGGATGTGTCTGTGAGGCTGCAGACAAAATGGCAAACACTATGAAAACTTTCAAGTAACTAAATCACCACTTGAAGACATTATTAACAGGTCGTGTCAGTTGCTTTCCAGTCTTGGTTCTTGTGAGAAGTAGCCTAATTGCGGTTATATAATTGCAGTGAAATTAGCAATATTACAATAAAAAAAGTATAAGTCATATTAGCAGTGAGATGTATATCAAAATGAAAGACGTGCATAATTGTAAAAAAAAAAGTGTTTTTTGTTTAGGGGAAAAACTGCTCCAGTTCTGACATGTAGTGGAATAAAAGTAGTGAATAGACTACAAGTACCTCAAAATTGTACTTCCATGTACAAAGTTAGTTTACCCTTTGCAGTTGTCAGTATTTGTCACTCTTTACACTGTACTTCCCTGTACAACATGTTTTTTATACACATTTTATTTTTTTATTGGACCTTGATGAGGAGCATTGAAACAGTGGCATAATTTCAGCTATACCGTTAATCCTGCTCATGCTCGTACATCAAACTGTTGATGCCTAGCCCGTTCTTTTTGGCTGACGAATGCTGCTAAGTGGCTTTTGACTCCGTATGAGCCACCTGTGTATGGAAACTAATTAATGACAAAAGTACTGAGTGAGCACAGAGCAAAGTCGAGCTGTAATCAATCTGCTTGTCAAGATGTGAGGGAACAAAGGGACACGTCAGTAATTTATAACTCCACACTTAGTACAGTTCAAAATGTGCTCCGACAGTTCTCACTGCAGCCGGTCTGGCAGGTCATAAACACTTGAGAACATGAGAAGACCCTTCAGCCATTTTTGATAGACATCTTAAACAGGACATTTTTGTATGTGGCAGTGTGGGTGATGTTTAGTTTACATAAGTGTCAGTTGACCACATTTGGAAGTATTGTTACGTTACTTAACAGGTGGGGTCTTACAGGTTCAGATCAGCGTAAGTGTGCATGTTAGGAATGCAAGCTAAGGTTAGCAAGCAAAAAATTCTTGCTCACATTTACTAATGAAATTCCTCTTGCAAATTTGAAACATTACTTTCACAAGGTTACCCTTGCATGCGCTAAAAACTTGTTCTGTCCTTGTTCACTTAAAAGCACATTAATAAACATGCATATACTGTACTATTGTAAATGTGGTTTGGTTACTTGAGTGTTAAAAGCCTTAATTTGCCCTGTTTTTGTCTAGCCACTGCAGTTTTAAGAAACTATGTGTGTCAGCATCTGTGTGGCTGTGTGTGTGTCCGTGCCTGTGTGTGTCCATGCACGTGCGTGAGTCTGTGTTAACTCACTCTCTCTGGGTTCATGAGGAGAGTCAGTCTTGACAGGGGTGGGGTCACTCCAGGAACGGCTGAAACTCTTCGATCTACGCTCAGCGAACGCTAGTGCAGGCGGGGGGAGAGATAGTCACTCGCACACACTCGCGCACACTCGCACACACACACCAACAAGCCCGCAAACTGGCTGTTTCCTCTGTACACTCACCACCTAAAACACACATATGAGTGCAAAGGCGGATGCAGCTACAAGTTCACAAATATAGTGTACGTACAGTGCCATCCCTCCTCTGCACAAATACACAACAACAAATGCCTGCATATACAAACTGTCCAACAAACACACACGTACAGTACGCTAACAATCCTATATCTTAAACATATAAAGGATCCTGCTGCTTATTCCTTTCTATATGATCATCAGTATGGATTTAAAAAGACTGCGCTCATTTCACAGACCCACTGAGCTACAACTCATCGATAAAATCAGATCAGCTCAGCTTTGGACAGTAGTCATTGTGCTCTTAGAATATTTTTAGCCACTTTAAAGTATTTGACACAGTTAATCAACACTCCCTCAAGGTGCCATATTTTTTTGGCCTCTGTAGTTTCTTGCCGCTGTATCCTCCCTAACGCTTCTCTGTTCATTTTGCTGCTGACACCAACTTGTTCTTTTCAAGTACAAATTTCCCTGTAGAAATAACATAGTGTGATCTCATCATCACCAGTACTCTGTGATATATACTGTTTGATTTATAGTATATAGTCAGGACTGGATTCATATGGGGTCTTAATTCCCTCAGACTTGATTTGGCCCAGTTTCAGTTTCATTTCATAGCATTCATCTGACTCCCAGCAGCTGCATCCATCATTTCTGTCATTTTCATGGGCGTGGCCATGTCCAGTTGATGAAGGATGGCGCTTGTCAAGCACAACGGGGAGCAGCTTTATTTGGACTTTTGCGCATGTGCATTGTGAATCCTGGGATCTTTAACGGATGACTAGCTATGACTCAGCTTCCACCATTCTGAGATCAGTTATGATATTGCAGACATTATTATACACATGCGCAGATGCTTGTGGAAACTGCATTTTCTAGTGTTAGTGTTAGGACGTATCGATAGCAAGTAAATGAGCTAGTTGGTTCAGCTCTTCAGCTCTGCTTGTCTGATCTGTAGAAGTCACCGCAGGCCACTGGACTTCACTGATGTGTGAAACACTGCAGCCTTGCCACCAAATTCTGTGACCATGAGGGGAATGTCATTTCACCCAAAGCTATGCAGAGATGCAAGAAGAATGTATAATTTGAAGAGGAAATTAGCTCCAGGAGAACAAGTTCCTCCTCACAGCAGGGGTCTGAGTCTGAGAAGTGGAACAACTTGACATTACTGTCAGAATAAACAAGACTTTGGATTTTAGTAAATGTCTACATTGCAAAAATCTGCCAAGGTACACATTTGGGGAGTTGGTTTATGCAGTGATAGGTGACATATTTGCATTTTAATTGGGCTCAGGGTCGTCATGGTCAAAACAAAATCTACTTCTGCTTGGGTCCGACTCTCATCTTGAAGTAACAACCTCGGTTTTCAAATTCAAAATAATGCAATAAGGTCTGTCTGTTTTGCTAAACTTTTACACACCTGACAGAATCATAAGCCATTTTTACTCACATTTCCAATCTGACTTCATAGTTCTGGTCTGGAGAATAATGACTATGACAAAACTTCACAAATTCACAAATGATTTTCATTGCAAAAGGTCAAGTACCATATATCTGATTAAAGAAACGGAGCTTTTCAAGATTGGTCACCTGGAGTGTTCTGTTCTCATATAATCCAGAGCGTTCCTGCTGATGTGTTATAGATGTGCAGTGACACTCACACAGACACACATTTCTCCATCAATAACCAATCATCACTTTGCTATTTTAGTGTCCTTGTCTTTTAAACTTTAAAATGAACCCAACGAAACCCCCAAAAAAACATTCAAAGCAATGCAACAGCAAAAGACCAACTACGGCTTACACACCCGTACACTACGCACACACATGCGCACACACACATGCACAGACCCGTACCGCTGGCTTGTCAAACACACTGATAAACATAGAATCCTTGAGGAAATACCACAGAGCGTTACAAAATCCCAGCAAAGCAGCAGCACTCGGTGCCACACACACATGCCAATAACACACAAGAGAACAGAAAAAGAAAACACAGATGATGGTGGTGTGAACAACATCACAGTCAGTTTTAGCAAACACATTAACCATACACACACACACACACACACACACACACACACAAACACGCATATCTGACTCACTCTGTGCTTTAATCCTTCTGCTGCCCACCATACGGAGATGCTTCCGGAAGTTCCTGTGGGTGGAGATATCAAAGTGGAGGAGGGATAACCGCGGACAGAGGAAGAACCAAAGTGTAAAGAGGAGAAAGAGGAAGGAGGGATGGGGTGGGTGGGAAATAAAGTCAGGCAAGACAAAAAGAGAGGAGTTTAGTGTCAAGCTTCTATTTCTACAATGTTGAAAAGGAGATAATTATAGGTAAATATACACATTTCCGTGTCAATGTGAGTGGAAAATACTGGTCACAAGGGTGGTGTGGGTATCATGTATCACAATACAAAAATATCTTGTTTCATCGGCTCATATGGTGTACATTTCTGAGATTCATTCATGTAACAACAGGCAAAGGGAAACCCTGGTATTGTGTTTAGTAGGTTTTGAAGGACCTGCTCTGAGCGCATCTACACCAGAGGCCAAGTTAGAGGGAGTTTCTTTTGCCAAACTGGTACACATTAGTTTGTTTCTTTATTTTTCCAAGCAGATGAGTTTTTGCTTTATTGATGGTGTCTGTGGTAGACGCAGTGTCATTTGGCTAACGAGTCCAAGCCTGATTGATTTCATTTATATGAGTCTAGAGCCTGAAGCCCTCAGATTGGATTACTAGAGAACAGTGAATAAGATATACAGTATATACTGAGTGAGACAAGTGAAACCAACACATCAGCCCAATATCCTTTGAAATTACATCCATATTGACAAATCCTCTCCTCATGATTTACATCCAGTGCCTTGCCTCACGGGAAGCAGTGTGTCTTTTGTGTAGCAAGGTGAAATGTTAAGGGATGGAGGATAAAACGTACAATAGCTGCCAAGCAGGGATATTGTAGAAGGGAGGAATTTTACATTGTCATTGAACGTAATGCAGGATTTTGCAGTCTGGCAATAGTGTTGGCAATATACACAGATACTGGTACATCTGTGACATTATCAGCCAGTAACAAAGGTCAGGCTCTGTTTGAATCCATTATTAGTTACCTGATTGTACATGAATTTTCCGGTCTTGATTTAAGGAAAAACCTTTGGATCCACAAACCAAGCTTTTTCTTATCTTAATTATTCAAATGTAGCGGTAGAGAATCTAGACTATATTTCGGTGAGGCTAATCATTGGCTAATGAGGCTCTGAAAGGAAAATATTTTTCTGTTGACATCCATATTCAGAATGCAGAACGACAGAACGAGATTGTATCTGCTAGAGATCAATTTTATGCTGCTGTCAGCAGTGTTTTACTCATTTATCAGATTCATCTCAGGGACTGTTCCTCAGAATGTACACTACTAAATGTGCAAAAACTTAAACTGTAATGTACAACATTACAAAAAAAACATACTATTTAGTCAAAGACAATGATACAACAATGATCATTTTTTTCTTAGTAAACCTCTTTGCAAACATGTCACAGAGCTATGTATTTGTAGTCTGTAGGTAATTGGACATAAAGGCTTTGCATTACCATGTTACACCCGGAATCCATTTAGTGTGTTTAATACCAACAAACCAATAGGGTTTGTATAGTTCTTTCTCTGTGACTTGCTGCTAGTCCTGACATGATGTTCTATGCAAGAGCCCCAGATAAACATCCTTTCATCTCTCTGCCTCCCTCCCATGTCACATCTACACACTGAAGTGGTTCACCAAGCTACCAGTCTGTACTCATGATTAATGATCTCTGCATGTGTGTGTGTGTTTGTGTGTGTGTGTGTGTGTGTGTGCGTGTGTGCGCATGTGGTTTATCCGGCGGTAAAGAAGCGCATAAATACAGAAGCAACATAAAAGGAAGAAAATAGTCTTTGGAGTCTATTTGTCCTTGGTTTACCCCCATAAAGATTTCAATAGTACAAGGATTAACATGCAACATCAAACAATGAATTTCACTGCTAATTCTATGAGCAAAACTAATTGTATCATGCCAATACATGACTAAAAGAATTAGCAAAAATAGCACTATTAATTACAAATGAGCAACATCACAGTTACTTACTTTATACTTTGATAAAGAGATCTTAAACACACACTTGAATACACTGACTGCCCTGTGCTTAAACCTTAGTTGCCCACAGTGGAGAGGTGTGGAGACTGTTAATGAGATTTAGACAGAGAGAGAACATGTGAGGAAAAACCATGTCCACCTCCATCTAAAGACAATCTGACAGCCCCCCCCCCTCCCCCTTCTGCTTCAGCGCTCTCTGTAACTCATTTCCATCTATTTTTTGCTTTACCTATTTACATGTTCCATATTTTATTCTTGTATTGGCACATTTACTACGGCCTACTCCTGTTCCATCTGCTATTTCTACTATGGCCTTACCACTATAATACAATTTCAATTAAGTGAACTATCCCCTAAATTATTAATAAGATGAAATAGGGATTAATATTCTAACGGTGATATTTACAGCCATCTTTAATATTCTCAACAGCTTTATTTGAATAATAAAAAAACATGATCACACCTGCATTGTTTCATTGCATTGTTTCTATTCCTTACAAGTCATTTGCTCCTGTTTTTGCTCCTTTCACTCTTTATGTGTGTCTTACTGTCTCTTCCTTCTTCTCTTACTTTTAATGAAGTGGAGACTCTCTCTTAGTCCTCCACGTTTCTTTAATAATGTCTCACTTCTTGCCTTGGGTTTTGTATACTTTGTGAATGTGGAAGTAGTACTCACAACACATGTAATTCTCTGTATAAATATGTTTGGTTAGCAACTGTATTTCTGGCCAGGAACTGATTATAGTGATGCAGTCAATGCTCAGTTTGTGAAACAGTGCAGGTATGAGAAAGCATCTCTTCCTTGATAAAGAGGACACTGAGTGATGCATTTAGAAAAAAAATACAATAAGATGAACTACATGTGCGGCAGCAGCTAGACTGGCAGTTTGAGAGGCATTACCTATAGAAACCCAGACTTCAAAAAATCCTGAGAAAAGAACCAGATTGTTCAGCAATAGTAATGCATGATAAAAAGGAAAGTGAACATTTCACATCAAAGAGTTCAGAGAAAATCTGCTTTTTGATGATGAAACGCACTCTGAGATAACAGGCGGTGATTAAGAGCCCTGCTGAAATGGCTCTTTTACTTTTTCTTTGGGTATTGCTGTTGTTTATAACTAGAGTTAAACTTGTCTTCATTATTATTTTGGATTTACACACAGTGGAAAACCAAGTACATAAAGTCCACCAATGCAAACACAGCAGGAGTCTTATCTGTGAGGGAATGAGGATCATCCTCTGTCTTCACTTGACAGATGCCCAGTCTGTAGACTGCTTCTGTATGAAATAAATAATTTCTGCACAGCTATGTGGCTTTGACCATGTCTATATTAATGCAGATACCTTGAAAACTTTGTGTTTCATCCACACCAGCGTTTTTAGTACTTCCCTAACGTTGGCCATCTAGAAATGGCACAAAATACAAAAGCTTTGTGCCTTCTGAAAAGACGTTTTACCAGGAATGCATCATATATTGTATCATCAAGAAATCTCTGCTCTTATTTGTAATTTCCCTGATCCATATACTGGAACACAAGACCATGGTGTTTTTTTTTTTTTTTTTTTTTTTACTGGTCTTTCTCTTTAATGTGTTTTTAAGTGATCAAACACTAAGCTTATTGAGGATAAAAGACCATAATGGAATGCATTTTGCCTTGAGATAGACGTGGCCTTAGCCTGATTAGATATAATCTTTCTTAAAGAGAGGTTTTCCAGTGGATCTCAGTACAAGGAGGCACGACTGTTCCTAAAAGTTTGTTCTGCTCTTTTTTTCCCAAAGGTTCATATTTTGAGTAACACACAACATTAATAATGTTGACGCTGCAGTTGGATGACACTTAGATGCCAAAGGAATTGAGATGTACTGCATGTTGTCACATCGACCATCTGCCTCTGTGTGACAGGACATCTGGGCCTGAGTGGGATGGTTTCTGAACTCGTCACTGATGTCATTACTACAAGTGTTACAGAATCTCACTCTGTGTTTCCAATGGCTTTCGTTTGTACAGATTGGGTGTGACTTATCAACCAATATGAGCACAGTTATCTTTTTTTTTTCTTTTTTTTTAAAGCTTTTTTAACTATCTGTACAGTATGTACCCATTTTGATCTTTGTCAGTTTTGTCTAGGAGTAAAAATCCACTTCACCGTGGTTGGCAGTACAAATCTGGCCTAGAAATTGGGGCACTGTAGCAGGGCATCCAGTAAGCAGATCCTTTTCACTCCTATTGAATGCTGCTGACGTCCTCACACCTTCAAGTGCCACGTTCTGACTCTTTGGCTTAGTCAGATTAGACACGGCTGTAAATAAGTGACGACGGAGCTGTAGCCAGAAACGAGCTTGAACTGCAGTCAAGCAAAGCACAGCCTGGCAGGGGACGCTTCGTACCTCTGGATGACTTCTGCCGAATCCTGCTCCCTCTCTCTCCTTTTTCTCTGCACAAATCCCCGGAAAGCCCTGCCAGGACGTGGCACAGTATTAAAGGGATGAGAGAGGGAGAATGCTGGCGTAGCGAGGGGTAGGACAGTGCAGGGAAGCTGATGCCAGGGCTTTTAGCTGCAGGGTTATTTGGCTGTGAAGGGGGAGGCTGTTGTAGGTAGGCAGCAGCTAGCTTTGACTTATAAAGACCAGAAAGTCAAATCACATCACCAGCTCAAATCGTCTTTTCTGTTCATCCCTGCAACAAATGTGCCACTCTGCATGTGACATAATCCATTTTACAATAGAAACCTATGATCTCATGACCTAATGTGTCTTTTCAGTCGTTCCACTTGAGTTGTAATTCTTAAAGGGATAGTGTGTTTTTGGGGAATTTTTATAATTCTTCATCCTTTCCCAGAATCGGTCATGGATACTTGTTTTATATCCTCGCGTTGCGCTCAAAGATATGTTGAGTTGTGAGCTTACACTAGCTTAATTTAGCATCTGGAGGTCTGTGGGCTCAATTAGGAGCTCCACTCAAAAAAGTGCATATTCTCCAATGCTGTGGGTTTGATACATCCGTTTGACAGCCTGGTGTTCAGTTTTCATGGATACATACATAAAGCTAGAATCCACTTGCAAGATGTATATGGCAAAGAGGGCAAAGTTGTTGCCCCCCATTCATTCCAGTCAGCCACTGTCAAACTTGCCAGAAGAAAGTGATTCCACTGGGTTCATGCTGGACCTTCATGTGTCAAAGTACAAACATGGTGTGAAATGCATCACTTTCAACGCGTGGTGATGTCTTTAGCAGACTTAACTGTCATTAACCCAGGATTGTTGGTGTGACCCAACAATCCTGTGAAGCTGATTAATATTTGTCCATTAACAGAGACAGAGCTAGAGATAGAGCATCTCCAACCATAGTAACATAATGATTTGTGTCTTCAGCGATACCCCACAGTGGGTACTTAGACTCTAAATAATATAGAGTAAAAATAGCTAGTAAAATTCCCCCAAAACAACATTTCCCTATAATGGAAAAAAAAGATCTTATTCTGTATTTTTCTCAGTTTGAACAAATCCCATAAAAAGACCAAAACCAATGCATTAGTTCATCTATCAAAACTTCCCTTCCCAGTCTGTGGCACTTAGCCTCAAGCCCTGTTGTGCGAACTGAAGGCATGCATTTTTTAAAAACTTGTCACAAATATAGTTTTAGCTTCAGAAAAGTTTACATAAGCACCTGAGACAGCAGGGCTTCATAGCCTATATGAATGACCAAAGTAAGTATTCAAACAGGAGTAAATAGTGCATTACAGTACCTTTTCTCATCATAATGGAAGAAGATGTTACCCAGAGTAATGGCATGGCTCATTGATGCAGCCTGTGTTGAATACTTTAGTTATGCCAGCGGTGTGACTCTGTAGCAGGGGATGTCAGTCGTCTAGTCTGCCAGTACAAATTTGAATTTGTTCTTTTGGTTTGTGACCAAATAACTTCAATATTAATGATGAACTAAGGCAATAAACATCAATAAACATGGTCAACATTGTACCTGCTGAATATCAGCTTAGTTAGCCAAAGCATTGTCATTATGGGTATGTTGTGCTAGCGTTAGCTCATATTACTGTTGTGCATAAGTACAGTACAGTGGTCTATCAGTGTCGTTCTACAATAGTGGAGCTCTATGGCTCAGAGGAATGAGCTCTATCAGGTTTTGGATACACAGACAAAACTTGTCAGTAGGTTCAATTCATTGTTGGTTTGGTCTTTCCGTGATTTGATTTGACGACATTAAGAACAAATATAGAATATCACCAGACTAATCCCTTAATGATTGTAAATAAAATTTGAATAAGCCCCAAAACTTTATTTTGAGCTAGTAGGCAGTGGTTAGCTCTGTCAACAGAATAAAAAGAACTTGGAAACCATCAGCGTTGAAGAGCAGCTAGGGTTAGCTGAGTTTAGTTAGGCAAGGTGTGGTTGGAGCAGGGGGTGTGCAGTATGAAATGTCAAGGTTTGGCTTGGCGATACACTAGTAGTGTTATCAATGTTAGCATTCATCTGATTGCTCAACCAACTATACAGAAGTTAGCGATTTGCATGCAACAAATTTCATATACTGCATACGTATCTACCAAGGTTTCATCAGACTTATTGAATAGATGGCTGAAAACTGACTGATAACTGATTTCATTTTAACTACAGCTGATAAAATAGTTTTACCAGAGGCCACCAAGGATCACATGTTGGCACTATAAATACTTGTTTTTGATAAATCCCTCTAGAGCCACAGTCAGTGCCAAACATGGCTAAAGTCAGCCAATACAGATTTAGTGATAATTAGTGCTGTCTGTGGAGTGAGATTAGAGCACAAACATGACTGCCACAAAAATCTTAAAGGGCCAAACTATCCAATGCTGTGTCCGTATTGTGTGTGTGTGTGTGTGTGTGTGTGTGGGTGTGTGTGTGTGTGTGTGTGTGTGTGTGTGGGGGGGGGTGTGTGTGTTTGTAAAAGCTACCTTGTGAGGACCAACAGAGAGAAGGCATTTTTGGTGAGTGAGGACATTTTGTGGGACATTTAAAGGCTAAGATTTCATTTTAGGGTCAGGGTTACAATTGGGTTTAGGTCAGGGTTAGGGTTAGGCATTCAATTGTTTGGGTAAAGGGCTAGAGAATACATGATGTTAATGACTGTCCTCAGAAACATATAAGTGTGTGTGTGTGTGTGTCAAACTGACAGAGGGGCTAGCTGGATAGCTGGACGTGAGCTGACAGGGTTTAGGTCAGCCAACACACAGACAGACATTTTCCTGACTTGAGCTTGGCAGACTTGCTCAGCTGCAGTGGATTACACTGGAATTTATCCCTGCTGTTTCATGAACATCCTGTCACTCAATTTTTCCCCTTTTGGCTTTTTTTATTTTTATTTTTTTACTTGAATTAAAGACATTATTTGTGCTGAGTAAGCTTCTACCTGACGATACATAACTGTCAATCAGAAAATGATTCTTGAAAAACATACTTTTCTTTCAAACACAGGTTTTACGATATCAGTAAGAGCATTATATTTGCAGTCGTGGTTAGTATAAGCCAGCAGAAAAGACAAGTTGCAACTTCTTGCAAACAACTCACAATTACCTATCCATCCACACACAAACATATATACACAGACCTCTATACTGTAAAGTCCCTTCATCTATCTTGCTGTGATTAGTGTGTCTTCTGCTGTTACTCAAACACCCAGCCCAAGGATGAAGGTTAAATGGTAGACATTAAGTTAAGGGACAGCAGTTATGGACAAGAGGTAAGCGAGCTAAGAAAAAAAGAGAAAGCAGGCAGGGAAAAATACTCACGATATCCTGTTTGAGTGTCCCAAGATTAATTACCATGGAAGAAGAGAAGAGAGAAAAAAACACAGTTCAGACACCAGTGTGCAATGAGTCCAAGAAACTGTGAGGAAGGAACTGGGAGAGGCGTAATGAGACAGGGTGTGTCATTCTGTGACCTCCATGAATAAATGTAAACTCATAACATCACATAATTGTTCCTGCTCTGTGCGTCTTTAATGGGCCAAATGAACATCCGTTTTTATATTGACCGAGTCTGACTTTGCGCTCTGAACATTGTCTAACAAACATCTAAGACAAGATGAAAGGTGAAACGGCAAATTTTACATTTAAAAAGGGATCAAACGAAAATAAAAGTCAGGCAGAAACCGATTGGAGGAGACTGCTGGAGAGTGTACGTTTTGATGTGAAGTGGTTGTGACAGTTTAGATACGTTTTACAGCTGCAGGTGATCTGAAGACAGCGGCTCAGGTCGCAATCATGCTCACAAGCACTTTTATACCAAAGCACACACTCAGATTCACACTCACATACTCTCATAAATGTGTGTGTGTGTGTGTGTGTGTGTATATATATATATTTATATATATATATATTTATGTGTCTTATGTGTATAAGACTTGATTTTGGTTGTTTTAGCCCATGAGTTACAAACTGCATCTATTTGACATTAATGCCATGCAATTTCAAGTGTATATTTTTGGGTTTGATTACTAATTAGGGAATAATCGGTTACACAAAATCAACTTGCAGATACTTGAAACTTGTCAATTTAGCACTGTGTTTGAATTACAAATTTAATGGAAAATCAAATGTTAATGTTAAACAGTCAAACTTGGATGTTGTGGAAGTGATGATGACAAATTGTCAAAAGTGTCAAATGGTCCTTCAATCCACCAACAAGAACTGCTTTCAAAACAAATTCTGCTTTACCATGCATCGATTGTTTAACCAAAAAGAAAATTCACACAATATTCACTTTGATGGTCTGTCCTCCTTGAGCAAGCCTTAAGGGTTTTTTTTATGGCTTACTGAACTGAAAATCAATAGCTGTCTGGAAGGGAGGAAATCGATCTAAAAACCTATAGTGAATGTTTGGCGGTGATATAAAGAATGCAATTTACAGTTAATGGCCTAAACATGCAAAAACATGGGTATGGTCCGTTTAGTTTGATTGTGGACACACAAGTCTGACCTTTCATACACCATTAATGTGACTGTGTGCCTGTATATATGTTTGTGTATATGTAAGGTTGGACACTCACGCCTGCATGGTCGTTGTGGCAGTTTGAAAGGAGAACATGTTTTCCTTGGGGAACCAGTTGGTGTCCTCTGCAATCAGAGAGAAAAAGTCGTTGAAACCAAGGTTAAGTGAAGGGAAAAATAATCTATCTGCCATATTGGCATATGTCCTAATAAATGAATATGTCCTAAATAAAGAAATATGAAAGCACAAAACCGACTTCACAGTCCACTACTCCACAAATGGAGAGAGGGAGACACACAGGAAGAGACAGCGGAGGAGAAAGACGGGGGAGACGAAGAGTCAGAACTACAGACCACCACGTCACATCCAACATCAAACCCTCAATCCCCACCAGACCGGAGAAGATATAGATTTGAAAAAGTGTGTCGAAACAATTAAATGTAATTCAAGCTCACCTTTAAGGTATGTTTTATCTATGTGTGAGTGATTTTAATTGGACTGATTTATTACAGTTTCTTAGTTATTCCTCAATAAATGTTTACTGCTAAGTTGAATCAGAATCTGGTTTACTGCCAAGTAGGTTTTACAACGTACAAGGAATTTGCCTTGGTGTTTTGGTGCATATCAATAACAATAAACATGGAAGGAAGTTTGTTTTTGTTTTTTTTCACTGAAGTGGTGCTAAAACGTAAAAAAGAGGCTGGAGATATTGCTTGTAAATAAATAGAATTAAACTGAAACAAACAGTAGACTAATGGGGAAGCAAGATTAAATAGATCCTTTACGTTCAATAAAAAAAGAAATGGCTAGATCTCAGTGCCCTCATGCATGTTCACCGTGAGTATTTCTCATGTGAATGATTAAAAGTAGTCAAATGCTATTTCATCTCGGGTCTGATACCAATCCAGTCCCAGCCACAGGGCCTCAGGTGCAGCCCCCGCTTCCCCCTCCCGCCCTTGTTTGGATTTCAGCGCCTTTCCCTTCCTCTGTGTCCTCCGCCCTCTCACCTCTCTCCATCCCAGTCACCCGGTCCACACTCCACATCCGCTCTAGGCGTCTGTGCTGCTTGCCTGCCTCTCGGCTAGCGCTCTCCAGGTCCAGGGAGCCCTGGCTCCGCGAGGGGGCCCCGCTGCACGAATCACAGGCCAGCCCGCTGCACTCCGCCTCCCCTTTTCCACCGTCGCCCCAGCTGCGGATGTTGTGGGCGCTGACGGAGGTCTGCAGCGGGGGCTGAGACAGGTGATGGTGATGGTGGGAGTGGTGTGATCCATGATGGGAGTGGGACCCGGACATGTTTAGAGACTGCTGCTGCTGGTTGCTACCGCTGCTTCCACTTGCCCCGCTACTTCCTCCGCTGCTGGAGGGCGCGTTGGTGCCCGCGATGGCGTGGTGGTCGTGTTTCCCGTGGTGATGGTTACCGTGGTGATGGTTACTGTGGTGGTGGCTGCTTCCACAGCTGCCGGTGCCCCGGCTGCTGCTGGCGTGGTGGTACTGTGTTGGAGATGAAGAGGTCGAGGAAGGGGAAGTGGAGGGCTGGATCAAACCACCTCTGGATCCCACCCCGCCACTCCCCGACTTCTCCTTCAGGACGTCCAGTTCTAGGCTCTCCTTGCTGCCCCGGCCGCTGCTCATCAGCAATCCGTGCTGGGTAGTGATGGTGTACACACGGGCAGGCTGCAGGGTGCACTCAACACACTTCTGCTGGTCTTCCTCCGCTGAGAAGCTGCGCTCGAGGGACAACCGCGTCGGCTTGGTAGAAATGGTGATGGAGGGCGGAGGTGGCTGGAGCAAGCCCAGTGGCTGTTTCACCAGGCTGGGCTTTGGTTTGTCCTCACAGCCTTTGGTTGCGTTGGTGCAGGGATGGAGGTGGTTGTTGTTGTTAGGGCCAATCCTGTCACTTGGAGACTCTGGGTCAGGACCCACCAAGGTTTCACACAGAAGATGAGCTAGAATGTCGGAGATAAAGACAAAACACGAATGTCAGAGAATGCGCCATAAACCAAGATGCTAAAGCAGCAAGGAAAAGAGAGAAAGAGGAAAAAGAAGAAGTCAAGTTGACGATAACACAGAGGATAATATCATCATCTTCCTTCGGTTATCAGCCGTTGTAGTCACACACTAATGATTGCAGCCTGGCACGTCAGCAGAGGATAAGGTGAAGCAGGTGGAGGAAGAATTAAAGACCACACAGGAATACGCAGAACAGCATAGAGGGATGGACAAATGACAGGATGGCAGAGACGCTGACCTGATCCGTTTCGGTTTTCAGAGTGTGTGTGGGACAGGTTCTCTCCAAATGCTCGCGCTGCTCTGTGGGGACACACACACATGACACACATAAAGACATTAATTCATGGGTGGAAAGGAGGGGTGAGTGAGAAAGGAGAGGAAGGGGAAGGGGAGAGAAGGGCAAGGGAATTGTAAATTATAAACCTAATTGCCTTCTTTGTAGGCTTGTGCCACCCACAGATTAAGATGCAGCTGTTTTATCTCCATACTTCAGGCAGCCTCAGACTGAGGGAAAGACAGAGTACGAGACAGCAAGAGGAGATGGAGAGGATTGTTTTAGGCTGACTTAATTTCTCAGGATGACCTCAGTTTGTGTTGGTGGATGTATTTGCTGCCAGCAGACCATAAGTATGTTTATTTTCTTGTTTCACACACAGAATGTATGTGTGGATCTATATACTTTGTCTTTGTGTCTAGAAGAATACTTAACCCCGACAGCAACTGAACGAGATTGCTTGGAGATGTACTGAAAATAGATGTTGTGAGCTCCACAGCCTCAGCACTGCATCTGGTTCTTATCTTATTTTTATTTTCTCTCTGCCTTTTTTTCCACACACACACAGAATTAAAAAGAAGAATACTCCAAAGACAACCATCCAGCCACATATGGCTAAAACTCAATATCTTATCCCTTTTAATGAAATGGCCCAAGGTCTCGTGGTTGAATGACACTGACCTCCTTCTGTTGCTCTAGTCAGTGTGTGACAGGAGTGGAAAAGGAGCAGAGAGACAGAGTAAAAGAAAGACCGATAACTCTGAAGACGTGCTTTCAATGTCAAAATGGAAACTCACCGAGAGGAAATGTACCGCAGCAATAACTATTAGGAATAATGATTCATGATAGTAATTAAGAATAAGAGGAGAAGAAAGGAGAAAATGTGAGTAACGCTAACACTGTATGCTATTAATATGCATTCACTCCTACAGTGAGGATCATGATGAGATTGTCATTCCCCCACCTGACTGAAAGAGACTGTGCCTTATTGTCTAACAAATTACAAATTACATTTACTATAATAATATGTATTTTATAGTATAATTTTGTGACACTGGTAACAGTAATTTCCATTTTGTGAGACTTACTACTTTCCCTCTAGTACTTTTCAGAAGAAGTACTGCAGCGTTCATTTGTTATTTAACAACGGACCCCTGTAGTGTTGCATTACAGAATACTGACTTTGTGCAAACAGACTTTTAACATTGAGATTTCAATGGGTTCATCGCTAATGATCCACTTGGAAAGGCAGACTGTCAGACCCTGTTAAGAATCAGTGGGTTTTGTTTTTAAAAAATCTGTTGTAAAAAGCATTATGCATAATTTACTGAGTTCATATCGATGTGATCCTAAAAAATAACCTGATGTGTTCACAGTGGCAGTTACACTATCAAGGGCCAATTAAGTGTTTACAGCTTTCAGTATATTCAGCAAAATAGCCTGTGCTCCTGGTGGTTATGTTTCCCTAATGCAGCTGATGTCAGGGGTGAACTGCTGACACACACACACACACACACACACACACACACACACACACACACACACAAACACACAGATACACACACATTTGTGCAGCAGAACCCCCTGTATACAGGGAAATCTGTGGGTGTACGCCTCCTTCCTGCCAGCTCTGTCAATTATTAAAGCCTGTCCAACACACCAGGCATAAACTCACACACAGAGTGCAGCAAAAACCAACTTTTTTCAAACACTGTTCTGACGCACCATCGTTCGTTCTCTTTTCCGCTCAGTTTCTTATTTATTCATTTTAGTTCCAACGCAGTTCAACGAAGCAGATTTTACCTACTGGATCTTCTAAAAACAGCACAGTTATGATGAGACATGTTTGACCTGAGGAGGTCCTATAAATGGAACTATTATGTTCTTACATAAGTTACATTAACCTCTTCAAAATCTGCCCTATTAACTATACCTGCTTAGAACTGACGGCTCCTTTGGGAATGCACATATCATCAATATGAAGTTGTGGTGGAGACCTGTGAGACTCAACAAAGTTGAGGATTGAGGCTAGTGTGGACCCCCATTAGAAAGACAAAAAAAGACAAAAATGAACAACTATGAGCACTCAGAGAGCCGAGACCTCCACCAAAGCCAAAGTCAAACAACATAAATCAGATTTCAGAGTAAAAAAATACAAATTTATAGTAAATGATCTGGATCTGCCCCAAAATTTAATGGGTTCTTCGTTAGGTTGGCCCATGACACCCCTCCACAAAGTTCAGTGCAAATCGGTTCAGTACTTTTTGTGTAATCCTGCTGACAAACAAAAAGACACAGGTGAAAACATAACCTCCTTGTAATAATCAGGGTTCCTGCTTGTGTTACAGCATTGGGTAAGATAATGCATGTGCCAGTTTCTTGTCAGTATCATGTTCAGCCACAGTGGGCTATTAGATAAAGAGCTGCAGGTGACAAGCTGCATCCAAATCCTCATCAGGTCATTGTATTGTGTCCTGCTGCTGTGCGCAGCATGAAATCAGACCGCAGTTGCTCATGGTGTGATGTAAATAGGCAGACAATTGATTGACTTCTTTATTAAAACAATGTCAGTTTGTTTTGGCTTCACTGCAAACAGAAACACGGGTTGCTGATGTTGCTGTAGTGTTAAACCACACTTTTTTTTGTTACCGCCAGTAACCATGAGTGTCATCAAATAAACCAGGGCTGAAAGTTGCCCACTTTGGTCAGTTTTCAGCCTTGTGCATATGGCTTGAGTGTACTATGGTGAAGTGTTCATTACACTAATGATCATGCTTTTATTTAACCTCAACCACTTATTCCCCTAAACAGTTTGTGCCTCAGTTCAGGAGGGTTTCTTATTGCTATGCTAGAGCTGCAAAGATATTAAGTAACACTTTAAATTGCAGAACCTCCTCAGGTAAAACTGGGAAATTACTGCATGAAAATACAGCTTACTGAAGCTTTTACATCCATTGAAATTTTATATTTTTTGTAGTGCGTAAAGTACAAATGAAAATGTTTCTCTGTGCCTGCAGTCATTCTCTTCAGCTCCTCTGTTGTTTATTCCTAATGGTGAAGACCACAGCCAAAGTAAACCAGACTCCCTCGGAGTTTGGGGGTGTTATTGAGGACCGAGAAGCTCCGCACGTGCTGAGACACGGTCCAGCTCCCTTCACTATACTTCTAAAAATAGCTCATCATGCATGTCACTGCAATTCTGGTATGCTGCATCCTCTTCCCTGAAATCCTCTACTTCTTCTGTTGAATGTGCATGCACGTGAGTCTCTGTAGAAAGGACAGAAGAACCAAAAGATAAGAAACCTTTGTGTCTTAGTGCGCGTGTGTGTGTTTGTGTGTGTGTGTGTGTCTGTGTGTGTGTGTCTGTGTCTGTGTCTTTGTCTACATGCGGTGATGTAACAAGCAACAACCCCTGTTAAGGACAGTTGAGATAAATACAGCCTGCACTCTAATCAGCAGGTGTCCCTCAGACATGTTCATTTTGCCCTCCTGTTTTATTATTTAACAGGCCAGGCTCTCTGATTAGAATCACCAAACAATGTTTCAAGAGGCTCACATCATCCATTATACATGAGAGGAAACTGAGTTGGAAGCCAATGGACCAAAACGCTTCTCAATCCATCCTTTAAACAAAACCTCTGTCTCTGCTGTGTCGTCTCGTGTTGCTGTTTTGCAATCGCTCCATACGTGATATGCGAGCACAACAGCACGTCATGGGGTGTGAGGTGGCAGGGAAGAGATACCCTAAGCGCAGGTGAAAATGAAGAAGAAGAGGAAGAGCTTGACAAGGAGATTTGAAATTCATCCCGCATGCTTTCAGACATGTGACAGGGGTTTTGGGCGAAAGAGACAAGTTAGGGAGGGGAGTTTCTGAGAAGGGGAGATGTGATTACAGCAGAGCTGAGAAGGAGTGCACAAATAAAATGGGGGCATATTAAAAATGAAAAGTGGAGTAAACTTGAGGAAACGGAGGCAGAGAGAGCACAGTCAAGATGATGAGGAAGTAAGAAACAAAACTGACAACAGATTCAGTTTCGTCTTCAGGGCAACTGCATCTTTGAAAATCAGCTCAACCCTAAAACCCTTAGTGTCATTAAACCCCTTAGGGTGCTCATTAAGTGTGATATCTACACTATCAAATATGCAGTTTTCTGCCTATGGAGGTTGCTGAGAGATTAAAATTTTATGTTACTTTAGAGTGGAACAGTGTAAGCACACTAGTCGAATGGGAGCAGCAAGGTTGGCACAGGTTCAGGTTCAGTCCTGGATTCAGATCAGATCAAATTAGGTGTTTTGACAGTGATGGAGAGGTGGAGGACACCGGCTGTGTGAGAGTATAAATCTTAAACCTTAAAGCAGGTGTCACCAGCGTTTTTGAGACAGAGAGCTAGCTTAAGGGTAAAGAATAATGTGGAGGGCTACTTGTTTGAAATAATGTTCCCGAATAATCTAAATTTGCACGGTTTACCTTTTTAAATAATGAATATTATACATTTAATAGGCTACATGAATAGCCTTTAAACTGACTGTCACTGATGCTGTTAATGATTTTTGCAACCATTATTAATAATGTTTTACCATGTGATCATAGTCTTTTAGATGATCATATCAAGCGGCCTGAGTCACACGGATAGGTCGAACCAAAAAGAGGCAACTTTCACATACGTTTTTACTACAGACGGTTTTTGATTGATTTTCAGTCTTTGAAGCAGCATTTCATCCCCATGCATTTCACTCTACTGTAACTTAGAGTGTGTTTTGACAACTATCCCCCATGTTACGTTCATGAACTTGTGGGGAAATGGGATTTGAGAACCGAAGAAAACATACCCCCTTGAGACACCATACTATTGAGGCTTCAGTTGTATACTCTGCCATGCCTTGTACCTCTATTATTTTTATGATGGGATGTTTCGCACACTTTCCAAAAGGATATCGATATATGTTCATAATAATATTCTTAGTGCAAGCGTTTAATGCAAGAAATTACCAAAGTCACATTATCCATTTCACAATGTCCATGTTT